TTCATTTGGTTGTCTTCCTCTGAATCTTTCCTGATTCGTGACCAATTGCCCTGTTAGGAGGAGAGAATGTTTTAACATTTTAAAGAAATGAGCACGCAGAGCTGCATCATTCAATGATATCCATGATGTCATATAGATCAGTGTTTGAAACTCTCATTGTTCTAGACGCATTTTGCGACAGGGAATTTCACTAGCGCGAGCAGTTTCTGAGCTCTGGGTGCAGTACTGCACCTAAGATTTCAGATTAAAACTGCAGTGTGGAAGGAAAGGAGGGCCTTTTTCTGCTTCCCCACTTCCAGCTACTCTCTGAAGGTTGGAGAAGAGACCATCTTAAGAATATTAGAGGGCAGGGGGTGGACTAGACCATGTGAAAAATAAACTTAATATTTTAGCTGCAGTTCGTTCATTTTTAGTTTTGCATTCTTGTTATTTAAAAAGCATGCCTAGACAGTCTCTTGTTGCGCCCATAACCTAGGTTTAAGGTGCTATTTAGCTCCTAGCTTTCATATCTCTTTTTCTAACACTGATGCAGAGACCTATCAATTAAAAAAAAGGTTTCTGGGATCCAAAGAAAGCATGCCTGTCCTCTTAGGAATTATTCATAGAATCATAGTTGGAATGGGTCACAAGGGTCATCTAGTCCAGCCCTCTGCAAGGCAGGAACCTTTTGCCCATCATGGGGATTGAACCCACAACCTTGAGATTAAGAGTCTCATGCTCTACTGACTGAGCTATCCTTTAGGCAGTAGGAGCAACATGGAGGCCAAAGTTACATTCCCAAAACATGAAGAATGTTTTCCATATAGGGGACTTTGTAATCATCTCCACAGCTCTTGCCCAGAAATATGGACAAAAAAAGATGGACAAAAAACTATTTGGGGATTTACACTTCATAGATTTTCAGGTCTTCATGAAAATTTCCCTGCCCAGTTGTTTCCTAAGATGCAGTGCAGCTTTTCATAGCAGAAATCTACTTCTTTAGTTTTCTTACTCATCTTTGCTGCCAATTTAGGGAGCGTCTCTAGTATTCTATTATTGTTGCATTGGGATATTTCTGCCCACTGGGTTTGTCTTCTTCCACTTATCCATCGGCTACTAAACAATTCTGTTTGGGAGTTTATTTGATATAACTACAAAGGAGCAGGTAAGTACTCCACAACAAATTGATTTATCACATCTACTTACTTTGACATTCTTTGTATGGTAGATAAGTAATAGGGCAAGGGCAAGCTATAACTATTCTTAAAGCTAGAAAAATTGGAATGGTTATCTGAATATTTTGATCAATGGAAGGAGAAAAATTGCTGAGAAGAGGGGATGTGAAAATACTCGATTGTATTTCTGCAATCAGCTTGTCTTTGTTTCCCTTTCCCTGCCTTACATGCTGGCAGGAATTGCTTGTGGTATTATAAGAATTCTTTACCACAAGAGCATCTACATGTAGCAACATCTGAAATGTCAAAGTGCTTCATAACAATCAACACTACCCCCCTGCAGTGTGGTAGTGTGGGAGTGTCCCTGCAGAGCTCTTGCTGTAATCTGTTACTATGCTATTTGGATTCTTCTTTGCATTCTCTCCCCATTTTCTGATCCAAGTGACATGTCTGGAGAATTTGTCAAAATTCACCGAGATGAGCTGCTGGCACTCTGCACTCTCACAAATACACTTCCATTTGCACTGCAAAGTTGGCTGGAAGGAGAATTTGTGCTTGGCTGTACATATGGTATTGTTGGCAGCTGTGCCTTTGGCTCTGCCACAGGAAGCATTACACTGTGCCTAAAGGTATTCGTATATCATTTCCACACCCTACGTGTGGACTTATTTATAACTTGTTTTTGCAAACAAGCATGGAAGCAACATTTAGCATCACATCAACCTACTCTACCATTTCTAAATATGTTTGCGTTGAAATTGCTTTCCATAGGCAAAGCGTTCCCTTGTGCTCTGAAATTCTCCAACTAACGTGGGCCTTTGAAGCTGCAATTCCACGTTTCCGAAGAAATACAGAACATTTGGTCAAATTGGCAGCAGGGCACATGAGGACATTTTTTCCTTTTCTACTGACCCCATTTTTTAAAAAAGAAGACAGCACAGCTACACAGATACAAAAGTTCCCTGAGATGAACCCTGTGCACATCTGCAACCACACAACACACCTCTTCTGAGTTATCTGATTGCAAAACTACTTCGTTCAAGCACTTTTATGGGTTTCCCAGTTTATCTTCAAATTTTAATTCATATCCCGCAGACAAAATTTGATTGCATTTAAACTCCACAGGTTCTCCAGTAACAGACTCCCACACGTTACTTTGTCCATAATAGGCCTTAGGAGTATAATTTTCAGCCTCTCAAACAGAGCCGCTTTTCTGTCTGCCTTATGCTCATACTTTCTGAAGTTTGATGCCATATTTTGCAGCTAATCTGTCCAGGAAGAAATGCTTTCCCTAAAGGTAACTTTTTGCTCCTGCAGGTTCTAAATCAGTTCTGCACAAACACATTAGGCAGGCTCTTTTGTTGAACGTCAAGAAACAGGGTTTGAATATGGGATTCCTCTTGCTTGCGCTAATTCATCATAAGATGTTTCATTTTTAAAATGTTCCCAACTTTTGTTCGACCTTTTTCTGTAGTTGTGCCAGTAGACCAAGACGTGAAAATAAATCTATTTCTTAAGAAAAGCATTGTATTTCTTATTGCAGCCATTCAACAACAACAAATGGAATTTCTAAAGACAGGGGATCATTCACAAAGAAAGATCTGTTTCCCAGCATCTTTTCAATGAAAAATGAAACATTGGCCTTTTCAGATGTAACACATGGTTTACTGTTACAAAAATAAGCTTTTTCCAGATGTAACAAAGTTACAAACTTTTATATTTAAGTATTCCATTATTAGATACAACCATTGCTTACGAAATATGTGTTCTTATTCTCCCCATTTATCACAACAGAATATAGACTTGTATCACATGGTGGATTTGAACTAGCATAACCTTTCCTGCTAGCACAAAGTGAGGAATCCAATCCAAACATCCACTCACTACTACAGCCCTCTATTGTCACATCCCATATTGTTCCAGAGGTGTCCCCACAACCCTCAGGAGCAGCTTTGAGGGATTTTTTTTTGGGGGGGGTGCAGACAGCATTGGGTAGGAGAAATTGGAGAAACTCAAATGTCCTGCCTTGCAAAAGTCAAATCCTAAAATATTTTTTTCATTTGTGTTATTAAGCTCACAAGCAACACTAGACGTGAATCTATATTGTGTGCACCTATATATTTGCAGTCCTCATGTGAATATTGTCTTCGGAACTGCTGTATTTATGGCTTTTTTAAAAAGACGTGCATACTTGGTTTCTTTCATTGTGACACCAGCCGTGCTCTCATCTAGGCTCTGGAACAGCTGCAATGCAAAATGTACTCTTTAGAAAGGCTTCAAGATGCAAGGGGGTCTGTGCCTACAACACCTATTCTGTATCTACTACCAGTGGCACTGTGGTCTAAACAACTGAGCCTCTTGAGCTTGCCAATCAGAAGGTTGGCGGCTCGAATTCCCACTATTGGGTGAGCTGCCATTGCTCTGTCCCAGCTGCTGCCAACCTAGCAGTTCGAAAGCATGCCAGTGCAAGTAGATAAATAGGTATTGCTGCGGCAGGAAAGTAAACGGTGTTTCCATGCACTCTGGTTTCCGTCATGGTGTCCTGTCGCACCAAAAGCGGTTTAGTCATGCTGGCCACATGACCCGGAAAGCTGTCTGTGGACAAACACCGGCTCCCTTGGCCTGAAAGCAAGATGAACACCAGTCGCCTTTGACTGGACTTAACCGTCCAGGGGTCCTTTACCTTTACCTATCCACTACAATGGTTATGCATCTGAGCTCAAATCATAGTGAGAGTTTTAACCTTTAAAAACCTTAATCACAACTGTCACATTCTCTGATTTGCTTGGAACACAAGAACTGCTATCAGAAATAATGACTAGATATATCCCACATATAGAAATCTATTTGGAAAGAAATGTTTAAAATGATAACAAAGCCCCATGAAGCCTAATTTCACCCCAGCATAACGATTGTGTCTAGTGAATTCATAGGTACAACGTTAGAAATTATAAACTGGGATAGGACAGTTGGTAGAGCAGGAGACTCTTAATCTCAGGGCCAAGATCCCCACGTTGGGCAAAAGATTCCTGCATTGCACGGGGTTGGACTAGATGACCCTCAGGGTCCCTTCCAACTCTATCATTGATTGATCGATCTTTGCCCCACAAATGGGGGGGTGTTCTTCTGTTGAAAATGAAACGATCAGACACCTACAAGGAAAGCAGCGGGTGCTGGATACTCTTCCCCCAACCCTCCCCTGTAGGCCAAGGCTTGCAAAGGTGAAGAAAGCTATGGCAGCAATAATATTTGCTTCCAGGGGCACACCCACCCATACGGATGGTCTCTGAGGAAAAGCTGCCCTGCCCCTCCTCCCTATCCTGAACGAGGATCTTTTGTTTCTTCGGTCGTTTCAATTCTTCGCCCTGCCCTTATCGTGCAAATTGGGACAAGGCAAACGTGCCTGGCTTCAGGGGCTGCCAAAGAAAGGAAGGGAGGAGGAGGGAGGGAGGGAAAGTCCCTCTCCAGAGAGAAGTTGCTTGTTTTCGCGGGAGGCTGTCGAACAGAAATGAAGACAGCCTGGAAAAATAAATATATGTATCTCTAATTTGCTTATCAAGAGGAGGCGGTGAGAAGGAAGGAGATGCGGAGGAGTGGGTGGGTGAGGGGGGTTCGTTTCTCTCGGCGGAGCAGCTCGGTTCGCCCTTTATCTCCAGGGCTCCCTGAGGCGCTGGTGGCCGCGCTCTGTCCGAAACCAGAGCCAGGGACAGAGAGCAGCCGGCGGCTCCCGTCCGCGCCGCCGACAGTCCCTCCCGAAGGGGAAGCGCCAGCGGCGGCTGGAGGTGGAGGCGGGGAGGGACAAAGGGCGGGTGGCAACTCCGGCGCAGGTGACAACCAAGTTGGGCTCCTTCGGCGCGCTCGTGCGTCTTCGTGTCTCCGACTTCAGGCACTTCCCTCGTTCCCGCCTCCTTCGAAAAAAGAAAAGAGAGGAGGGAGCGCGGGAGGGAGGGGAAGGGGGGAAACCCTCGAGGCTGTGGGGAGATTAAAAACGAGGAGCGAGTAATAAATCAACCCCCAGTTGCCTGAGGAAGGGCGGCCAGAGACAGAGGCAGGGCACGGGCGGAGAGCGCTCCCGCCGGCCGTCGGAATGCACCTGAAAGACAAAGTGGCTCTGGTCACGGGGGCAGCGCAGGGCATCGGGAACGCCTTCGCCCGAGCCTTGCTGGAGAAGGGCTGCAAGGTAAGGAAGCGGGGGGCGAGGGTCCGCGGCATCTGGGCTCGCGCCGTCTCCTCGTCGCCTCCGCCTCGCTCCGAGGACGCGGCGACCAACCGGGCTCCTCCTCTGCGTGCGCGCCGTGGCTCCCGCGAAGCTATTGGTCTTCCTCCCGCGTTTGCTGTGGGCTGCGAAGCTCGTGTGTGTGTGTGTGAGAGAGAGAGAGAGAGAGAGAGAGTGCCTGTTTCAAAGTATGCTACGTATGTGTAAAATGCATACATTTACGTGCTCAAATGTATCCACTGTGTCTGTATTCAAAATGATACTTACAACTGCTGCAGACACGTGTACTTGCGCAGTATACGTGTGCATCTCTTTCGGCATACACGTATGTATGCGTTTGCTTAGCTGTCACTATAGAGACAAAACCTTAGCCATATATACACTCAAAGGTCAGGTCTATTCCTAGGAACTCAGAAAGAAGTCCCTTTGAAATCAATGGGCCTTATTTTGTTTTGTTTTTATTCTTTAGTTATCAGATATGATATACTGCTATTCATTAAAAAGAAGCAGAGTAGCTGTCTTGCCAGGGAAGCTTTTAATATTTGAAGAATTCTTGTATTTTAATATTTTGCTGGAAGCCGCCCAGAGTGGCTTGGGAAACACAGCCAGATGGGTGGGGTATAAACAATAAATTATTATTATTATTATTATTATTATTATTATTATTATTACTACTACTACTACTATTGTTGTTGTTGTTGTTGCCAGAGGAAAGGTGGTTCTTTTAAAATGAGATTCAGAAGCAATACAAAATATGCAAGTGAGTGAGAAGATTAAAGATTTTATTCTAAAACAGCAAGCAATGTATACATACCAAGCAAGCAGTTCAATCTGCCACTTGGAAGAGACTCTCCCAGGTAGCCTCAGTTTGCAGGGCCCTGCAGCCGGTCAGTTCGTGCACCAGCTTCAAAGAAACTCTGCCCAAACCATCTGATTTTATAGGTAGCATTGCCAGACCCTGGCTTGCCAGACTGGCTATGTGCAGATCATCTATTAGCCACCCCCTCCCAATGCCTCACTTTCTCAAAACCATGTCCAACATCAAAGAAGGTACCCAGCAGTATCCTCCACACCTGATTAAGGCAACTCTCTCAGGACATTAAAGACTGTTTTCAGACCATCTAAAAGCTTAACATAAGCAAGGAAGGGGGAAGGAACAGAGGCAGGAATAACCATGTCACATCACTAACTGCTCTCAATACATTTTGTCTTCTGGGTGCATTTCCCATACAGTAGTTTGCAGCAATTCTGCATTAAAAGCTATTTAATAAAATTAAAATTAAAATCAGAAGCCAACTATCTATTGTGAAAAGATAAGAGTCTTAATTGCCTGCATAAGCCTGATACAACAATAATAATAATAAGTTTTCAGCTGGTGTTTAAAAGTTGAAACAGAAGGTGCCTTACTACCTGGCAAGTTGTTTTGCACATGCACTCAAAGATGCTTACTAGGAAGCGAGTCCCATCTGACATAGTGCCATTTACTTCTGCGTAAACATCCATTGTATTGCACTGTTAGACATATGAAGCATCCGACAAATATTAAACACTTTAAATGCCTATTGACTTAATTAGGAAAGATGGAAGCGCAAGCTTAATCTTCCCTTTGAACGGGACATAAAAGTGCTTGTTAGCTGGATCATGCATGAACTTTATGTGCAGTGTATGTCTAGTATATACATTGTATACTGAATATCATGTAAACATAATTTCTTCACACATTATCTTATGTAATGCTAAGGGGCAGGCTTTGGTAATCTTTCATAATATGGCACACTGTGCAAGGCCAAAATTTGGCGCCCCCACATTGATCTTCTCAATTATGGATCATCTCAATTTGGTGCCCCCTCAGCTCAGTGCCCTCTGAAGGGAACCACCTGTACCACCCAAAATCTGGTGCTGCCTGGATATTCAGTCGTCTTATCACTCTCTAAAACAGATCTTCCATTCTCCCTATGAAGAACATACCGTATTTTCGCTCTATAACACGCACTCGACCATAACACGCACGTAGTTTTTAGAGGAGGAAAATCCGTAGGCATGCCACCCGCACAGACATTTCCCCTTACTTTTTAGGAGGAAAAAAGTGAGTGTTATGGTGCAAAAAATACGGTAATCATTCTTTCTCTCATAATCTTATTGTCATTATCCTTTTCATTCAGGTAGCACTTGTGGATCAGAATGTGGAACGAGGAAAAGCAAGCAAAGATGCCTTTGACAAGCAGTTTGAAGCGCAGAGGACCATATTTATTTCTTGCGATGTTTCAAGTGAAGAAAAACTAAAAGGTAAAGGTGTGTGTGTGTGTCCCCCCTGCTGTTTATCCTGTCAGAGTCAGGGGAAGAAAATATGTTATAGATATAAAATCTGTGCAGGTTAGGATGTGGTGAAGAAAGCCAATATCCAACCAGGATTTATAAATGTGTAGGAAATCTACAAATGTGAAACATCAGCAATGTCTTTCCTCGATTGAATTAGTTGGCATATTACAAAGAAAAATAAATTACAGGATATTTTGTAATGTTTGTATGAACCCAATATGTGAAAAATTGTACCGTGTTTTGTTTTATTCTTAAGCTTTAATACAGAACATTCCCACCTAGTCCATGACATTAGATATTGAAATAAGCGTTATATAAAAATGAAATTGAAAGCCAATTATCATATGTAGGGAAGAGAGAAGAAAACATTTATTTCAAAACAGCTACTTGGTATTGAAATAAACCCAATAGTATGGCTTAACATTAAAGGTAGCACTTCCTCTCCCATTTATGCACAACTAACATTATTTTAGTGTCCCCAAATTTAAAAAGCAATTTACAGTGCAGATTGAAAAGCTGTTCTTAGTGTCTGGAGGAATTGAGACTTGTTGGGAGTTGTGTGCTGTAATCTTATGCATATTTACATAGAAGGAAGCTGACTTCTAAATGGCTACAATGGGACTTTGCTCAGTGCAGAGAACATTTCAGCAACTGATAACATTTAATACAAGTTGTTATTTCACACATTTGTTCAGCAGTCCAAATGCGTAACACAGAAGCTCATAAAACTTGGACCAAGAGGCTTTTCATGAAAGATTCTGTCTGAATTTTGTTTTTTGTTATAACTCTTTATTAGCTGTATTAGTCTTCCTGATACCATTTTCTGAACAGGAATGTGTGGTTATGGGATCACCACTTTTTTAAAAAAGAAAACAAAACAGGTACTTACCTCAGAAAAACAATAGAGTAGAAAGATTTAGTGGGAGATTGTTTGTAGGGACTTACAAATTGTAATATTGGTCTAATGAAAACCATACGGTTTATAATTTGCACTATAATAATGATTTAAATTTGTTGCATTTTTATTGAATGAAAATTAAATTGGAAGGGGAAAAAACAGTCATTAGCACATACACAAAGTAGGATATTCTTCAAAATACTAGAACAGCAGGATTCTTTTCAGTTAATGGGAGGGTTTTGGTATAGTCACACTTTCTTATAAGAAAGTGCTTTTTCATAAAGTGCATAGGTTAAAAGTATGGAATTTGCTCCCACAAAAAGTAGGTGGCCATTAACTTGGATGGCTTTAAAAGAGACTGAAGGATAAAGTTTTCAACAGCTAATTCCCATATTTGCTATGTTCTGCCTCCACTGTTGGAGACAGTATGCTCGCAAATGCAATTTGCTGGAAATTTCAGCTCAGGAGAGCATAGTTCTGCTCGGGTTCTGCTTTCAGACTTCCCATTGGCAACCGATTAGCCACTGTGAGAACAGGATGCTAAACTAGATAGGCCACTGGACTGATCCAGCAGGTGGCTCCTGTGTCTAGTAGCAGTCATGCATTGCCCCAGTTATAATCCATTTAAAGTAAAATAACTGAGTCTACACAAAGTAGCTGATTGCAATGCTAACAGATGGGGAAACACTTCCTAATAGAGAGAGCTATCTCTAAAGGCAAACAAAACAAAACAAAACAAAACAAAACAAAACAAAACAAAACAAAACAAAACAAAACAAAACACAGAAGCGTGCACTGTGGTGTAGCCAGTGTAATGTAGTGGTTAGGAGCTGTGGAATCATAATCTGGTGAACCGGGTTCGATTCCCCGCTCCTCCGCATGCAGCTACTGGGTGACCTTGGGCTAGTCACTTCTCTGAAGTCTCTCGGCCTCACTCACCTCACAGAGTTTTTGTTGTGGGGGAGGAAGAGAAAGGAGATTGTTGGCTGCTTTGAGACTCCTTGGGGTAGTGATAAAGCAGAATATCAAATCCAAACTCTTCTTCTGTCAGCCTGGCAGGATTGCACAACTATGGCTGGTGGTAAAGCTAAATTCTTTCTAGGTTATGGGACTTAAGGGGATGACTTGACAAATATCTAGGAATGAAGCAGTTTGAGGACTCTTGGTGCAAATATTTGTCTATTAATTATCATGGACCCTAGAGAACTATAGGGGGGGGAATAGATCTTTAGTAAGAGCTTTAGAAAGGAGATATCAAGAACCGGTCAATTTTTGCTCAATTAATTATTTCCTTGGTCTGTGATTGTATTACAGATTGTGTCTATACATTTAAAAAACCAAATCATATCATTTTGTTCTGAAAGGATTAACCTGTATAATTACCATCCTCTGATGATAATTCTGTATTCATATTTACTTAAACACATTGGAATCTGCATGAGGTTCCTACTGTTCACATGGAAACAAATCCTATCATGAGCACCAGGAACCCCTTTACTAATTCGGTTTTTCATCTTTGCAGACACTAGGGTTACCTAATGCTTTGCTCTGAAACAAAACACAAAGCCAGATTTAGGGAGGCCATTCCTCCGGCCCCTACCTAAACAGCCCTACAAAACCTCTTATGTTACCAAGGAACAGGCAAGACTAACACACCAACATTGAGTGGCTGAATCAATTTATCCATTCAATTGATAAAATGTTATCACACAATACAAATATACTTTATGAAGAATTAAGGAAGTGCTGTAGATGAGTACAATTCTTTGTATTCACATTTAAGCAAAATTCATACTTTAGATCATGTTGTTGCCATCATTCTAGAATGATGAATTGTATGGAAATAATGAAAAATTCTCTTTTCACTCTAACCCCTATTTACTTGCAGATGCTTTTAAGAAGGCATTTGAACATTTTGGAAAGCTGGATATTGTGGTTAACAACGCTGGAGTGAATAATGAAAAAAACTGGGAAATCACAGTTCAAGTTAACTTGGTAAGCTTAATTCATACATTAAATCATTCCCATTAAAAAAAAAACCTGTACAGCATTATAAATGCTAGGATAGGATAAATGTGTAGGATCGATGGCCACTAACAGTTTTAAGATTGTTGCCCTGTACGCAGTTACTCTGGACTAAGTCCCACTGAACGTAGTGGGATTTGAAATACTATGGAGATTATCGTACTGTACAGAACCTGTGTTACAGTGAGGATGAGGAACATAGTGTGCATGTTTACAGTAGTACCTTGGGTTAAGAACTTAATTCGTTCTGGAGGTCCGTTATTAACCTGAAACTGTTCTTAACCTGAGGTACCACTTTAGCTAATGGGGCCTCTCACTGCCACTGTGCCACCGCCGCATCATTTCGCTTCTCATCCTGAAGCAAAGTTCTTAACCTGAGGTACTATTTCTGTGTCTGTAACCTGAAGCGTCTGTAACCTGAGGTACCACTGTACTTACTTTCAATGCACTTCCTTCCAAGTATGCATACACAGAATTGTGGCCAGAAAGAAGTTCACACTTGGCTTAGTGGTCTAATAACTATGTAAAAGTGCACCTGAAGCAATAATACAATGCTAAATTCCGTCTTTTAGTACGCTACATTTCTTACAAGACAAAGTTAAATTGCAGTTTCATTTACTTGTAATCGTTGCTTGTACCACCATTTTAGTATGGCAAACTAAACTGCATCTCAGTGGCTGGGTATAGTGATGAAAAAATACTGGCAGATAGATCCAGCAATGAGCACTGTTAGCATTGTGTCACAGTACTCTGCTGAAACCTGGCTGGTCTCCAGGAATGATTACATACTTATTTACTTTTGATATTGCCTCAATGTGTAAAGCACAATTCAAATGAAAAGCAGGACCTAAACAAGGTCATTGTCCTAGTTTAAAGTACAAAGGCAATAACCAGCACAGTACAAAACTCTATAAACTAAAACAAATAAAGGAGAGGGTGTCGGCCTTAAGACCACAATGAGCTTTTGAAAAGAAGGAGAAAGGTAACAAAGAATGGTGTTTTGATGTCCCCTAGGGTAGTACAAGAAAATGCAGAATAAAGCAAAACGTGTGAAAACAGATTGCTCCAAATGATCGAGAGCTTCATTTGAGCATATTTCATAACAGCAACAATGTTAGTGCAGGCTTGTTCACATGTTGCACTGATCACACATATAAGCTGTCTCTACACACGTACAGAGTGTGGAGCTCAACTATCTGTGTACACAAATTTTACATTCGTTGAATGTAACTTATGAACACACCTTATATAATTGGCATTAGAATGTCCTATCAGGGAAACAGGCTTACTCTGAAAGTCTTATACAGTATCTGATTTCTCATTTAAAGTGTGAAAAGTAAGTCCGTAGTATGCATGGTTAGGATTCCATTCTTAAATCTCATAATGAAATAGCTTAATAGCCTAAAAGATTGAAAAAGGCCATAGATTCATGGCACATAGAACACAGAAGCAGGTTGAGTCTTTGGCATGTTCAGTTTCAAAGATTTTAAAAGTCTAGTAAACACCTCCGTCTGGTACCTTGGAGACTGTTGCTGGTCAAATTAGTTCTGGTTCAGATGGACTAGTGGTTTATCGCAGCATAAGGCAGCTCAGTATACAGTATTGTTGGTGGTGAAGTCAAATCACTGCATAAGCAGTACCAACATGACCTCCCTGGGGTACAAGCCTGGGCAGTGTGTATGAAGGTTCTGGGCTGCTCAGATGACCCTCCCCCCTTGGCCTTGCTAATGTGGTCCAAAGGAAAGCAGAGCAATATGTTTGGCACCAGCTTGGCTGCAGGTGTTGTCAGAAAGAGATGTACAAGGCACCATCAACTGTCTTAGGACTCCATTCCAGATTTGTGTAGGTTTTACTCCATAGCCTTTTCTTTTCCCAAAGATATCCTGCAAGGCAGCAGGTACAGATTTTCCCTGGAATTTACACCCAAAGCCCTTATCGGGAAACAGCATAGCTGCAAGGCATCAGAGATTATAGATCAGGGTATTCCTTATCCTTAATGAGCTACTTTGCTAGGGTAGCAAGCCCCATCTGCCCCTCATTTTCCTCTACAGTGCGTGCTGAAACAGCCTTCTTGACCACTATTGGTCTTGTCCACTCAATCTGCCAGAAGCCCATAACTAACCATTTGAGACCCATCAGCTACCCTCACCTGGTTTAGCCAGCCAGTCAAAGCCATTTCCCAGGTATGGCCACTGTCACATGCTGACAGCTTCTAGAAGCCAAGAAGGAGCTTGTGTCTCCCACCAGAGGTACCACCCCTCCCCTAACACCCCAGACAACATATACATTATATGAGCTGTTAATTAGTAACAGCTAATCAGTGAAGTGATTTACACTTTGCAGTGATGATTATATGCCTGCTATTTTCAGGATCAAGGCAGGGACTTCCACAACTTTTTATGTATTTCTGTCCTTTGGTGAATCTCTATGCCAGGCATAGGCAAACTTGGCCCTCCAGATGTTTTGGGACTACAACTCCCATCATCCCTAGCTAACAGGACCAGTGGTCAAGGATGATGGGAGTTGTAGTCCCAACACATCTGGAGGGCCAAGTTTGTCTATGCCTGCTCTATGCAACTGATTGCATTTTTTAAAAAAAGCAATGCATAAGCCAAATCTGCTGTCAGTAAGAAATGGAAATGCTCAAAGGCATTTTAGAGAAGGCAAATTTTGATTGCATGTGGTTTGTTCAGGCACGTTTTTATTCAATTAACTGGTAGACCAAAACAATAATTGTTCCCTTTTATACATCTATTAGTTCCCTTATGTAAACTCCTTACACACACATACTAAAGGAAAAAACTGGCTAGCAAGACATATTGCCCTGTCGCACCTCACAAGAATCATCCTGACACAGAACTTTCTCATGCAGGATTTAAAATAAAGTTGGTAAGAGAGCGTAAAATATTGCCTCTTGAATGGACTTTGCTGCTGCATGACTCAGTCTTGATTTTTATAGCTTCATTGTGATATTAATTGATAATTTGGGATATATAGCATTAACTTTTGTACAGTGGTACTTCGGGTTAAGTACTTAATTCGTTCCGGAGGTCTTTACTTAACCTCATACTGTACTTAACCTGAAACTGTTCTTAACCTGAAGCACCACTTTAGCTAATGGGGCCTCCTGCCCGCTGGAGCATGATTTCTGTTCTCATCCTGAAGCAAAGTTCTTAACCTGAAGCACTATTTCTGGGTTAGCGGGGTCTGTAACCTGAAGCGTGTGTAACCTGAAGCATATGTAACCCAAGGTACCACTGTATTCTGTTAGCTACTTTTAATATTTTTATAGCAAGACAGTAAAAGTATATTAAAATAAATAAAATAAAATAACAAACCACTGATTTTTAAATTCCAGGTTTTATTAAAAATTAATGGGGAGGGGATCTTGCCCTTCAGTGAGAACTTTAGTATTCAAATATTTTCTACTGAAATTAAGGAAAGTTGAAAGTACTTCAGTTTAAATGGATCTACCCTTAGTTGTGAATTGATCACTGGGTATTACTAGTGTAAAGATTAGCAAATGTGTGCTGTTTGTTGTAGAACTATCAGGCAAATGACATGGAATAAGGAGGGAAGTCAGCTCGTAGGAGCAAACTATAAACGTAAAATGTAATATAAAATGTATTTGAAGTATGAAGTCTGGAAAACCAATAAAGATTATATTTTTTAGAAAAGACATAGAGTAAGCTGGTGTCTAAATGCTACTATATACAAAATTAGCATAAGCTACTAAGGCTTTTAACAAACATTTGTGTTGAAAAGTGTTCAGCTGTTCATAATGTTCACAATGAAGAAAGATGGTAGCAATATACTTGACAAATGAAAGGGTATGAGAGAAAAATCTATTAATGGGAGGTGTGCCTAGAGGGTGATGTTGAGACAGAGGTTATTTACTTGAGTTCTAGGACTGATGAAGGGTTACACATGGCAGGTTACCCACATCTCTAGATTTTCCTCTTCAAAACTGGATGACATAAGAGGAAGTTGACATGATCATTTCTTCTTCTTCTTCTTCATAATTTTGCTTGCGTCATGATGAGTGAGACAGGCCTGGTGGTAAATAGGATAGTCATATTCATACTTGCAGGACTAGAAACTGCCAGAAAAAAATAATAATTATGCAACTGAAAAGAGCTATTGGGGAAGTCAGTTATGTCCTGGTTAAGAAGTGGAGAGCATTTGAAAGACTTGCTTTGGATGAGTACAAGATCCAGGGCCAGGGGGCGGGGCATGTAGACAATCCAGATGTGATGAACAAGGAAATCCGAGTCACTTATTATTCTTCCTCTCACCAGTTCTTCAGAATGCTCAAAGCAAATGAGTACCCAGAACAGACATCAGAGAGAAGACATGCTGTGCATAACATTATGATTACCGTACTTTTTGTGTGTTCAGACCCAGAGACCTCCCCCTTAAATAAATTCACACATGACTCAAATTTTGGTTTTTGGCAGAATTTAGACCACAACTTTATTGATTACAGAAGGTGAGTGGTTGCATAGGCTCTGGTTCAACTAGCTCCCTGCACCCTTGCAGGCAGCGCTGACCCAGGGCACCAGCATAGGTCAGCCAAGGGTGAACACCTGGGAAGGTGAAAAGCTTGGAACAGACTCTGTTCACCACCCAGATGCCCCCCTGGACTCAGGCACGGGCACAAGCCTCTCACAGGGGTTGACCAAACCAGTTGAGTCCCTGGATTCCTTTAATGGAATTCCCTTCACATAGGGATGGTGAGACCGTTCTCCCATCCCTATCACATGAACCAGTGCCTATCCACAACCTTACAAGTTGTGACGATATGCTATGTGGCAGGCGAAACCCAAATGGCAACAGCCAATCAGCCAAGTGGGGAAATTCCTGCTGTGCCCCTGTCCCAACGACAGACAACATATAGCAAGGTCAATCGCACAATGCCCTAAAGACAGAGAGAGGTGGGCGGGTGTTCCTAATGCACGAGCTGAAAGAGGAAGCTCTGGGTCACATGCATGGGTATATATAGGTCCCTCGATCCGTTTGGACTGTGCCCCATTAGTCAAATTGAAGCCAGCAATGAGGGACCTACCAATAGGGTGTTGTGGCTGAGCAATCCAACTCACCCACAAGACAGGAGGCTGGTCTCCAGGTCTCACCGCGACCCGTGCCCTCTCTTAGGGAAGACACGATTTAACTAGTATTGCATACCCTGGTGTCTTAGCTAACTGAAGCGTATCATAACACTAGAACTCGTGGGAATCCACTGAAGCTGACTGTTGGAACCTTCAGGACAGACAGTCCAGGTGTCATAAGAAAGCTGCAGAGATAGTGCAGGATAGTACGCACCCTGGAAATGATCTCTTTCAGCTTCTGCCTTCAGGAAAAAGGTACAGGGTTATAAAGACTAGGACTAGCTGCCTGAGAAACAGTTTTTATCCAAATGAGATTTTGGTTTTAAACACAGTGTAAGGACGGGGGTGGCGCTGTGGTCTAAACCACTGAGCCTACGCCTTGCCGATCAGAAGGTTGGCGGTTCAAATCCCCGCGACGGGGTGAGCTCCCGTTGCTCGGTCCCAGCTCCTGCCAAACTAGCAGTTCAAAAGCACGTCAAAGTGCAAGTAGATAAAAAGGTACTGCTCCGGTGGGAAGGTAAACGGCGTTTCCGTGTGCTGCTCTGGTTCACCAGAAGCAGCTTAGTCATGCTGGCCACATGACCCGGAAGCTTTACACCGGCTCCTTCAGCCAATAAAGCAAGATGAGCACCGCAACCCCCGAGTCGGCCACGATTGGACCTAATGGTCAGGGGTCCCTTTACCTTTAAGGTAGTCTCTGTGAGAGTATATTGTATTTAATTATGGGGTATTAGAGTTTTTAGGGGGTTAACCAGGCTTGGATAGCAGGCTTGTTGATTTTTGAATGTCTTATGTATATATTTTCAATTTCATTGTTCTGTATGGGACAATGACAATAAAGATTATCGTATCGTATCAAGTACCTCTTCACACAACAAATAGTTAAACTATGGAATTCAGTCCCACAAGAGGCAGTAATGGCTTTGAAAGAGGATTGGACAAATTCATGGAGGATATCAATACCTGGCTGTACTCTATTTCCACTGTTGGGGGAAGCTGGATAGCTGTTGAGAACAGGATGCTGAATTAGATGGGCCACTAGCCTGGTCTTACATTCTTATGGTGCAGAATAGCAGTGGAAATTCTGTGAAATGTCTTATGTGGCAGTGGAGTTGCCAAACACCTGTTCATGCATACAGTATATGTGTGTTTACTTCTCCCTTGCACAACAGTTTCCCCATCCAACTGCCAGGCATGGGACAATCAGCACTAATTATATATGTTATTGACCCACCAATCAAAGATTGTAAAGAGTAATGGTGAAACTTACAAACTTTCTCCCCACTCCTGCCCTAGTTCTGCAAAGGTTGTTCACAATAGTTGTGTGATTCTTGGAAATTTGAAACCCTTCCATTAGTTTTGCCTGTACGGTATAGTAAGGGGGTTTTCTAGATTCCACCTTAGCATTTCAGACTAGGCGGACCACCTGAATGAAACCTGCAGACCACCAGTGGGCTGTAAACTATAGTTTGGGAACCTCTGGGCTAGATAACCCTTTAAACAAGCTGTTGTACTTTCTACAGTTCTCGCTTAAAGTGAAACCATGACAGTATTGGAGAAGCCCCTTCACTGTAGAGGGGAAGCTGACAAGGAGTTTCAAAACTGCAGAGGGGGTGGTGGGGAAGCTTGCAAGCTCTGCTTTTTGTAGCCTTTGCACACAATGCACAACTTCTTGCTGGAATAACTGTGTGCAGCAGTTGCACACATGTGCAACTTAGGTGCAAATTTCCTTCCACTCTCACAGCAAGCATGGAGAGGTATCTTCTCCACAGAAGTGAAAATGATAAGTTTTGAAGATTCTTGGGCTTGCAGGCCTAATTAGGTCCACAAGGTTTTTTTGCTGAGCCATCCTCAGATGTGGAAAAGTTCAAGTCATGGCTGCTGCAAATGAAGAATCAGGAATGTAATTTAAATGCACTCCCAATTCTTCCTTTGCAGGCAGAATGTGGCACTTTTAGAACCTGGTGCCTTTTTCTGTCATCCTGCATTCTGACAAAGGTGCAAATTCATGATGACCAAGCCACCTACCGGTCAACCTATGGAGGGTTGGTCACTTTTGGATTTGGATTCCCCTTCCCTTTTTTAGGGTTTCAGACTTCATAGATATGGTACCTTGACATGGGTGAAGTTGTTCTACAGTTAATTTGTCAGGCACCTAGAAGGACTCTAGGTCCATTTGCCGTTAATCAGAATGTCTAGGAAATCTAGAAGACCACTTATAAGAGCTGAAGATAAGGGGCATTGTAAAAAAGGATTGACACCTGAATAATCTATTTCTATATAACTTATATGTTTGAGGAATACAAAGGGAAGCAACCACAGTGATTTTAAACTTGTTGAATATACTTACTGAAAGTCTGATTATAACAGACAAATGTCAGACTGAGAAGAGACTTAAGTGTGACACTTCCTTTGTGTTCTCTGTACCAGATTTCAGTGATCAGAGGAACATATATTGGCTTAGAACACATGAAAACTCAAAATGGACATAATGGAGGAGTTATTGTTAATGTAGCATCACTAGCAGGTAAGAAGTTTATATAGCTTATTTATTTTAAGGCTATTTTTTTTGCATTTCCATTAGGTTGAAGACCAGTGAGATTATATTAATTTCTTAAAAACTGTCAGTTTGCATTCCTTGGTACAAAAAGAATTGGTTTAAAGTGTAGAGATCTTTCCTATTCTAATTGACTCAAGAAGGTTCTGGAAGCTTCTCTGTGTGATACAAGCTGGGAGTTTCTAACTGACACGTAAGTTTCTATTCCTCCCAGAAACAAGCGGAAGGTTCCTGATGTTTGGGTTATTCCTTCAGAGAAGCTGAACAGCTGGTTTAAACTGGTTCTGTTATCTCTTTCACTCATGGTGATACTGACTATATAATAATAGGCCAGAAGGAGCATGGTTTTCACTTTCTAGCTCTCTTTCATTCTGGTGTGGTGTTCTGTATATAGTATGCTAAGTGCTAAGTTATTGTAAGTGTAGGTTAAGTCTGCTGCAACTGGATTTCTTATGGACTGTGCCTATCCTGAATGTATTGGATTGGTGACCATTATGCTCATTTGCCTTCAGTAGCAGTAAAGCTCTACTCTGGATGAAATATTGCCTCTGGTCTATATTTTGGGAATCCTGCAACGTGTTTAAGTTTTTTTACTCTGCTAACTACACCTTGGAATCTGCTCTGGATCAATATGAGCAGAATTCATGATATAAGCAACAACTGAAACATTGCACCAGTTCACTGACACCAGCGTCACATCAGAAAAAATAAAACCAGCACTACTAAAGAACAACCAATCCATGGAGTGAAAGAAAAGTTTTACTTGATGCACCAGGAATGTTAAGAAAGGCACAGGGAAGTTTTGTTTCTACAAACTAAAGCCTTTAAAGTATGGTTGTAATTTTCTCGATTTTAATGATTTATCTTTTTCTAAATCACTTTTGAGAGGGTTGTTTTTTTTACAATCAAACAGTGTATAAATTTTATGAACAAGAAAGAAAGAAAGAAAGAAAGAAAGAAAGAAAGAAAGAAAGAAAGAAAGAGTCAGGGAACTGCTATCAGCTCAGAGCCGAGAGGTGGAAGGGCAGTTGTGTTATATGGAACCTCCAAAAATCTTGCGAAGCAGTTCCTCCTCTGGTGAGGAGGGAAGCCCCACCTCCAGTGGAGAGGAAGTGGTGGGAGCAGGGGATGCTAGGGAGAGCCTCAACACAGAGCCTGAGCAAGCTGGAGGGGAGGGAAGTACCCCTTTGCCAGCGCCCACTCTGCGCAATAGGTTTAGGCGCAGGGAAGGGAAGGGAGGAGAAGGTTGGGGGTCACATGACTGTTATGCTGGAGGAGGTATAAGGACCGCCCACTCCCAGATTCTTCTAGCGAGTGAGCCAGACATGAACTTGCAACGCTCTTCACTGTAAATAGTTTGCACTAATAATAAAGCCTGGAAAAGACAGGTCGGAGTCTTGCCTGTTTGCTCTTGAGCAACCACACCAGCACCAGAAAGAAAGAAAGAAAGAAAGAAAGAAAGAAAGAAAGAAAGAAAGAAAGAAAGAAAGAAAGCATTTCTCCACAATGAAAATGTGCCTTCGGCTGTCCAAAATTCTCTTGTGGCATTTGCCAAGTCAAAGCATTAGTGTCATCTGTCAACCAAATAGGAGGAGAGAGCTCAAAATACAGTAGATCACTGTATTTTAAAATGTCATTTGTTTATGGATGTTGTTTTAAACTTTTTATATTTTAAATGTTTTGCAAGTCACCTACAGACTCATGGATTTGGTCTACTAACAAATTAAATAATAATTGGACTTTTCAATATGCAGTACAACAGCAGTGCTAACAATGAGAAGTTAAGGACTTGTAATCTGTCTTATCTATGAACTTCCTGTCTCTTGTAGAGGGTGCTATGACTATGTGTTCATTAAACATTATTATTTCCAGTTCAAGTAAACATGGGAAGTTATACCAGCAAAACACAAAACAAAACCCACCCAAATGCCGAAACTATAATAGCACACACCACAGAGAAGTGAATAGCTCTTGCTCCAGCCAAACACATAAGAACAATAAACTTCCCATTTTTATTTTCTTAACATCCATGAACTTAATGAAAGACTCTGACAGAACTTTACCATTTGTAAACACCTTCGAAGTATAGCTAAAGTCTAAAGTCTTACTTTCTGATGTCCAAAAATACTAACTGCAGCATATGCAACTACAGAAATGCAAATACATATGTTTAGAAACAGATCGTATCCATTTTATTTATTTATTTTGAAATATTTATAAGCTGCCCTTCACCTACCAAGGTGGAGTCTAGTTATATAATAATGATTTTATTGCATTAGCCATGCGGCCATAGCATAATATACATAGAAATAACAACATAAAATGGGGTGGGGAGATAAAAGTGTATGCCGTTCTGGGCGAATACTTTGAGAAAATGGGGATAACAAAGGTAACGGGAGATTTAAAACATTGAGTGACAGAGAATACAAAAAAAAGGTTCGATTGTGCGGCGTATCGACTACATCTGTGGTATTGAGGAAGGAGTTGGTGCCGCTTTCCTCTTCATCACACTAAGCAGGAAATTAGCTGTCATCTCGGTAATCCAACGGTCAGAATCCTGCAGAAGAAGGGACACTATCCAAGGCTGGATTGGGAGATGAAGCTTGTTCACGAGAGGAGTTAGGAACCGAGATCTTTCATCTGTCCAGTTGGGACAGAAGAGCATTACATGTTCCATAGTCTCCAGAACCGTGTCATTGCAGGAGCATGTTCTATTTGCGCTGGGAACTCTGGAGTAACGACCCGACAGAACTGCTGTAGGAAAACAGTTGAGACGGGCACAGGTAAAGGCCCTTCGTTTAGCCTCCGAAGGAATTGTAAAGCAGTATAGAGGGATCCCTTCAGGGGGTGGAATAGCTAGGGCTAAGCCTGAACACGGCCCTCTTGCATGGGAAGCTGTGTTAGAGAAGTCAAGTTGCTGCAGCTTCTTTTTGATTAGAGGTAGGGCTGCCGGGCTTATACACTCTAAATTAAAAACAGTTTTGCGGTTCAAATTGAGAAGAGAGAGGAATTTGAGATTAATTGTAGTTTTCCAAGGAGAATTATGAATATCTCTTAGGATCAGATTGGAGAAACCACCTCTAATTCGAGCATCCGATGGTAGTAGGTGGGAGCTGTAGGAAATGGCTCAACTCCATGCTCGTTTTACAATTGAGGGCTGGGCGAACTCAAGACGTAAGGCTGCACCTGAGACACATCTTGGGACGCCGGAAAGAGATCTCAGAAACATGTGAAGTGGGCGATCCAAGTTACCTGATATTGCTGTAGTCCATACTTCGCAGCCATATAATAGTTTAGGGACAACTTTGGCATTAAACATTTGAATTGCTGCTGTAAGGTGTTTGCCGCCCTTCTGGTGATAAAATCGGACAATGGCATTAGAGGTTGTAGTTGCAGCAAGAGAAGCAGATTGTAGATGGGTGGTCCAGGAGAGATTATAAGTAAATATTAAGCCTAGATATTTAAAGGCTTTTACCTTTTCTAAGTAGCCACCTGTGATCTTAAGCGGCTCCAGCTTGAGTTTGCGGGAACGAGTGAAGTGGAGAACTTTCGATTTTTTATAATTAATATTAAGAGCTCCCGCCTTACAATAGGTGATAAATGCATTAACTGCATTTGCTAGGTCCGCAGCTGTTCTGGATAAGATGACGGCATCATCCGCATAGAAAAGGGAAGCAACGGGGTGGCCTGCTAAGTGAGGAGGGTACTTAGTTGCTAGCTTCAAAGGGGAAAGGGCATCATGAAGATAAAGATTAAACAGTAAAGGGGCCAAGAGACAACCTTGTCGGACGCCCCTGGCCGTTGGGAATGGGGTGGTAAGGTAGCCGTTGGGACCAATTCGAACGCGAGCTGTGGTGTTTGAATAAAGGGAAATAATTAGGGAAAGGAGGTGTGGATCAATTCCCAAATGGGCAAGTTTGGACCATAATCTCTGTCTAGGAATGGAATCAAAGGCGGCCTCCAGGTCCATGAAAGCGGCAAACAGGTGGCCTTGCCTTGGTGCAGTGTATTTACTGGCAAGGTGATAAAGAGTTAGACAGTGGTCCATGGTTGATGCTGACTTCCGGAAGCCAATCTGTTCTGGCGGTAGAATGTTTCTCTCATGGACCCATGAAAGAAGTTCTTCCAGTAAGACAGCGGCAAATATTTTCCCCGGAATAGATAGTAAACTGATGGGGCGATAGTTCCTACCAAGGTGGAGTCTAGTTCATAGTTTAAACAAACCATACAATAAAATGCTGAAACAATAAAACCCTATATAAAAATAAACAGAGGCTGCTGAAAGCAAAACAACAGTGACGGAGTCAAACAGCAAAACCCTTAAAATGCCTGAGAAAATAATTAAGTCTTGATCTGGTGCCAAAATGATAACAATGTCAGCACCAGTTACACCCCTAAGAGGGAAGGCATGTTTCACAGGACCTCCATCCTCAGGGACAGGGGTGGCTGCATGCCATCTAAAGTTCCCCACAATTCTCCCAAGCAACCTTATGTTAAAGTGGTAGCTGCCCAGTTGATCAATGGAGCAAGCCCACTGTAGGAATCCCACAGATGCAGGAGGGATCCCACAGAAAAACTTGGCTGATACATGGGATCTTACAAGGCTTAATTTATGCATGTGAGTAGCCTCATTTTTTTGTCTTAATCAGACTCTAATTAGACCTTCAGATCCCTCCCCATGGTGAATTGTTTGCCACATGCTCAGGGCACTGTTTTGTGGACCTTTGGTAGCACCCACGTGTGGAATGAGCCACTTTATGAAAAATTATGTCTTGTGTTTGTGATGGAAAGCAGCCCTTATATCTGCCCTAATATCACTTCTGAAGTGTTCATTTTCAAACTATTCTGTGTGTTGCTTTGAATACCACATGAATTGGAAAAGCAATTAATAAGTTGTATAAAAAATAATAGCCCATCTTTCCCACCTTCTATTGCAGTAAAAACCTTAAAATAAACATATAAAACCAGAAATGTTTACTTATGCAGGCTCAGTTCCATTCAGTATTAGTTATCAGGAGTGATGCTCATTTTAATAAATGTTTGTAACTGTTTTCCTTTCCATTGTTAAAGGACTTATGCCTGTTGCATTCCAGCCAGTGTACTGTGCTTCAAAGCATGGTGTAATTGGATTTACACGTTCAATAGCCGTGAGTATGGGCAGCTGAACAATTCTCATAATTTTCCTCATGACAAACTCACCTTGCTATTTTCCCTCCTCTCATCTATAAAATAACTGCATTATCTGAATATCTTAGCTATTCAAAGTAACTATGCTTTATAAATAAAAATTAATCTTGCTGCTTCAGAATCTGGTTGCCAGGATTTCTGAATGTCTTTCAGCTCGTTAAAGTGACAGCAATGCTAAGAGAAGCATCTGAATTGGGGAAAACCTAAAGCCACAAAGGATGGCCTAGTTCTAGTTCTGAGAAACATATTTTGTGACAGTAGTCAGCTTATTTGAGTGTTACACAAATACTACCATACACCTGCCTGCCTTAAATATGTATTGCATTGGCAAATGTTGATCATACAATATGCTTCCTAGTCTCTGATAATTATTGTTATAAGGGATCAGCAACTGGATTGGTGGTCAATTGACCACCTAGCAGAGAGACAATGGGCCAAATCTATCTTCCTCCCCCCGCTCTTTTATCTCCATCCATGTACTAATAACTGGAAACTCTAGATCTCATTGATGTTGGCCCTGTGAGCAATAAGGTGCAAGGAGTGGAGCTGTGCCTTTCTTTCTTTTTGTTTTGTTTTCATCTTCAAGTCAGCTGCAAAATGGTTTCCCCAACACCACCAACACTTAACATGTCTGCCATTTTCCTGTAGATGGCTTCTGAGGCAGCGAACTATGGTGTACGAATAAATACCATCTGTCCTGCTTTTGTCAACACACCAATTCTTCAGTCAATAGACAAGGAAGAAAACATGGGTCAATATGTTGCATACATTGACAAGATCAAAGATATGATGGAAGTCTACGGCGTGTTGGAGTAAGTAAAGTAGGCACAATGGTATTTGTCAGATTACCTGCTGCCTTGCAGGACAACTTTGGGAGAAGAAAAGGCTAAGGAGTAAACCCTAAACAAATCCAGAGTGCAGTTCCTAAAACGGTTGGATGGCATCTTGTACGCTTCCTTCTGGCAACTTTACTTAAGGAGCCTCTACAACATGTCAGCTATTAAGAGTACAGTCTGGGCCGGGGGTGGGGGTTAGACTCTTTCCCCTCTCTCCCATCCCATGTTCTCTTTCACTGAACTGTCATCACCATTCTGTAAGCTCACATGCTCTTGTGAGGCAGATTGTATTGAAAGAATAGACTTAGTTAACAGCAGACAGGAGACCTGTTCTGACAGAGTATCTGATTCTTATCACTTAAATTCATTTTTAGACCAACACTAATTGCCAAAGGATTGATACAAATCCTTGAAGATGATTCACTAAATGGACAAGTTATGAAGATAACAACGAAGCGAGGAATTCATTTTCATGAATACAACACAGCACCCATTGAAACAGGGAATTCTAATTTGTGACTGTTTTCATTCCTGAAATGAAATTGTTTGAGTTGTAAAGCAATGCTAATGGTACATCTGAGTTCTAAATATTGCTGCCAATATTCCTTGTGTGAGGAATTAGATACAAAACAAACATGATTTTTTATATTAAATTTTTAATTTTAGAAGTTTAGTTCTTAACTTAATATGAGGCTGCATTCAGATGGCAGTTTATTGGATTCTCCTGATGTTTCCTTCCCTGATAATTTCCACACTTCACTAGATCTTTCACACAATGTAAAAGCCATTTCTAGAAATCTAGTGGAATGTAGTTTAGCACTCATCCCCATGTTAATTGCTTCCGGGGGGGGGTGTCCATTTGCAGCCCTGGAAAACTGAAAAATCGCAGGAGTTTTGCTCACATAGTGAACTTTTGGGTGGTAATTTGACATACTGAGGGGTGAATCATGGGGGAAACAGGAGCACCCATGTGTGGAAAGGGTGGGGAAGTAGTTATCAGAGCTAGTTTGACACAAAGCAAAACACAAGTCATCTGTGGATTCAAGCCATGGTGTGAAATACAGAATTAAACCATATATTTGGGACAGTTTGTCTGTTTGCTATGCATTTGAAGATATCTTAAGCTATCATAACCAAATTTTGCATGATGGTTCCTGAGATCAAGTAACAGGTCCTCGTCTGTGTTTGGGTACAATTGGATGCCATTTTGAATCAATATGGTAGACTGAACCTTTCTGAACTGCACTGATTTTAACCACTGATTTCAAAGCTGCACTGATGGGGGGGGTCAGATCGTAGAATTCCTGAGCAATGCCAGGGCCAAGGCTGCTACTACCTAATATTTTAAAATTTAAAAAGGACATTTTGTAAGTTACTCTCTCTTTAAAGAAAGCTTGTAAAGGGTTAATATCAATAACTACTTAAGGATCATATTACTGAATTTTGTGGTTCAGAAACCTTGTATGTGGCCTGTGTAGTTACTGCAAAGAAAATAAACTTTGAAATCAATTTGGTTATTCTGTAATGGGCATTTAATTTTTTTAACTCAAGTACATGTTTGTTTTCTTAATGTGAACAAGATATTTTTGTTATACAAAGGGGACCAATTGTCATTTATTAATACTTAATGAAATGACTTCAATTCATTTTCCTTTTCAGTGCGAAATAATAACCCTGTACTGATTTTTTTCCTCTTAGAAAGCTGTGTTTTCGACTACTACATTTCAAAAAGCTACATAGTAGATGCAAAATACTTAAAATGTTCCAATATGCAAGCAATGTTAACATTTTAAAACTTTCCTTATGTATTTCATCTAAAGTACCAAACAGGAGGGCTTCATTTGAATTTGAGACAACAGTGAAGCCGTGGCCAGTGGGTCCAAGGCAAGGTGATGTTACAATAAACACAGGACAACCACTCGGGATTTAAACGGGCCACAACTTTATTGATTACTGATGTCAGGTTTTGGCACAGACATTGGATGTGTACCAGTCTGCTGCTTGATTATTTGGCAGAGTTAAACCAAGGTTAAGGGTGGTCCTAGGACGTATATCGAATCAGGAGCACCGTTTTGAGGATGCTATGGCCCATCAGCCGCCATCTGGGCATCCAGACAGAAACACCTCCCCCTGGATCCCTTTAACGAGATACCCTGATTCCTTGGACCAGGCCCGGGGGCTCCTAACCCCGCATTCACCTAGACTAAGGATCCAACCCAATGCCTTATCCGCCATCAAGTTGTGACAATTGCTATGTGGGAAGCAAAAACCCCAGATGAACCCGATTTATCTTCTTCCTGGCTCTGAATATGGTGACCAAAGACTTCCATAGCAAGGTCTTACACAGGGCCTGTCCACTTACCCCCAGGTAGTCCTACACATTAAGTTTGGGGTTGGTGGTGAATCCGCCATCAACTGAGGCGGAGACCTGTGTTCAGCCGGCTTTTACACCCAGGGCCCGCTTACCTCTGGTCCACCCACTAAACCACTGCAAGTCCCAGCAGTCAGCGCAGCCAATGGAGGAGGAAGTAATGTCCTCCCCTGGTTGTGCTGAAGCCAGAAGATCACCCTGCCACTGCAACCATGCTGGATCTCAACTGTCGCTCCTCTGCAGCCAGCAGGTAAGTGGCCTTCTCACACAATGCTCTTTCAGTAACCACTTGTGACTGGCAGAAAGGCACCTTTGCAAGAAACTCATTGACACAATTTATATATATATATATATATATAAAACAAGATTGCATTGATATACAGTAAATTGAAAATTATTTACCTAAACAAGATTCTGTTTTATATAAACATGAGATATAGATCCAAAGAACTGTGAGAAATTGATTAAATCTGCAATTAAGCATGGATTCAGAGTGTTCCATCACCCTAACAACCACCTCAGACCAGAGTCGCCCTCTTTCTTTTGCTGTGCTATTTTCAGAGTAAGCTGCTATCTGTGGCTTTTGGACCACAAAATACCGGTAAATTTTGTTTTCTGAACAAAGCAGTGTACGTATATGATGACGTACAAAGTGACACACAATTTTTTTACAGCCTCCACCCAGCACTGTCAGATTTACTGATCTTCTGGTGCAACCACATCCGAAATAACTTGCATATTAGTTGGCATCATCAGTACTGTTCTCTGACTTAAGCTGTGCTATTTTTCTCCTAGGAAAAGATATGGTGCCTCTTCATTCTCTGAATCTGCAATATGATTTATGTTATCCTACGAAACACACAGTGCTTAATTATGGCTATTCATTCTCAGTATAATTATAACTTTAAACTATGGCTCCTTTTCTGAAATTTGATTATTGCTGGAGCTTACTGTGGATAGTTTCCTACAGCCATGGAGAATAATCTGAATGCAAAGGAACTAGAGGAAACATTACCTAGTGCTGTTTGTGTATGGGCAAATATGTTAAAGTGTGAAGTATCTTTGCCTAATAATTCATCATTGCTTCTTTTCCTGCTAAGTACTTAGCGATGTACATAGCCATGGGGCAGCGGTTGTCATGTTTCAGTTAATAATCAATGTATGACCAGAAGCAAATCCCAAAACAACCTACCGTATTTTTTGCTCTATAAGACTCAATTTTTCCCTCCTGAAAAGTAAGGGGAAATGTGTGTGCGTCTTATGGAGTGAATGCAGGCTGCGCAGCTATCCCAGAAGCCAGAACAGCAAGAGGGATTGCTGCTTTCACTGTGCAGCGATCCCTCTTGATGTTCTGGCTTCTGAGATTCAGAATATTTTTTTTCTTGTTTCCCTCCTCCAAAAACTAGGTGCGTCTTATGGTCTGGTGCGTCTTATAGAACGAAAAATACGGTATTGTTTTGTGCTTTGTTGCATGTCAGGAGAGATTCACCACTACCACCAATTTATTAGGAAGGGCTGTGTCAGGGAACTGCCATCGGAAGGACAGGAGGTGGAAGGGCTCACTGAGGTTGAGAGAGACTTAGCAGCTGAAGAGGGAACCAGCAGGGGGAGAGAAGGAGCTCCGAGGGAAAGTGAGTTGGAGGGATGGCTCAGAGACACTTCCAGCGAAAACAGTGGGGAGGTGTCAGGACCTCCTATAGGGACACCCACTCCTCGCCGGAAACTGTCGCGCCGAGAGTCCAGAAGACGCGTTTCCGTTAAGGAGCTTTTATGCTGGAAGAGATTCCGTAAGCGCCCACTGTCGGATTCTGCTAGCGACTGACGGAGCCATGCTTAAGGGGCTCCGTTATGGACAGAGGTTTGCGGACTTAACCAAACTCTGAGGGACTAGGATTTTACGCACAAGCAGCTCATCATCCCATCACAGGCTGTCTGCAGTTGTTGTGGAACCAAGAAGAACTAGGTTCTCTTGCAGATTTCCCAAATCCCCAGAAATGCAGTATCTCATACCCACACAAAAAGCAATAGGCAAGCACCTAGCTTGTAAACTAAATATATCCTGAAAGTTAGATTAAGATCAGATTTACTGAATTTGATTTATAAATGTACAAACATGCAACAACATACTTCTATCTATATATAGCTTTGACATGGCTTACATTAAGAATGGGCAGATGTGAGAATATTTATTTCCCAACTTTTGTGGACTTTATAGTCAGCATCTGCAAAACAAAAGGGCATGTTTGCCGATAGAAGTATTGCAAGGGTTTTTTCTTTTTGTTTTTGTCTGCTTTTCTATCCCACTTCTTGACTCAATATATTAAACAGAGGCAATAGGATCTCCATGACCCTCGCAGGAGGTTAAGAGGGAGGGCTGGGGGAAGCTTCCCTGGGCTTGGATTTCTGGGTTTCTCTGGGCTTGGAAAAAAATGGAAAGATTCACCTTTTTCTGACAATTCTTCAAGAAGGCTCGGAAAACCTGTTTTCAAAGGTTAACAAAACGAAAAGCACATTGGGGGAAGTTGAAAGCAGAAGTGGCTTTGTTTGTGTGTACAGTGGGCGGGGGGAGGGGGCAGAAAAACAATAAAGCAATGTGTGTTGAAAGATACTCTACTGTCTATAGTCTGGTCATTGCCTCCTCTCTCTTTTTCTATACTCTCTAGCAACTCTCAAAAAATCATGCATGTAAAAGAGCTAAGCAAACAGCTCTGAAATGCAACTAACCATCTGATTCAGTAGCTTTGTTTATGGAACAGCTGCCAAGTCTCTTGAATCATAAAGTCAGACTAGGACATGCCTGGTTATATTTTTTGGCAGGGTTTTAAAGTTTTCTAAATACGTTAGTGGATATGCAAATCTACCTACTTGTTATTGTTGTTGTTTTAAAGAAAAAGCCTTTTGGTTAGTTTTAAAGGTGTGAGAGCATTTAGTTCTGGGCTTGCTGGCATAATATTGATTTGTTCAGCTTCAAATCCATCCAGAGTGCATGTGAAGTATTTCCACAGAGCTTGAATCGCTGATGGAGAGGCGGAGTCTATCAGAGCCGGGCCAGTTTCCAGAATGACTCTTGAAAGTACAAATATGACTACAGAATAATTCTATCTTGCAGGAGAAAAACCTGTTCATGTCTTTCTGAGATTGGCCTGTCCTATCACGTTACTGGATTGGTAGAAACCACCTGACCTCTCAATAAAGAAAACCAAACCATTTTCCATTGAGCCTAATTGCTTGAAAGAGTGGATTACCATTCCACCATTTCCCCAAGGCTTCCCAGCCCTTTCAGAAATATCCCATTAGTGGCCACTTGCTGAGCAGTTATACAGTCTTTCACAAAGCACTACCAAAATTACCAAAACAACAGCCCTTGAGCCTTGCAGTAGAGATTTCTTGAACCATCACCTCGCATGGATGCTGCTTGGGTTACAGCCAGTGGAGTTACTCATACTCAGAACAGACCCACTGAAATCAATAATGACATTATGATGCTTGTTTGCTGCCTTACATTTTTCAATCTGTTTCCTAATACTTTGCCTTCTGTTGCAAGTTGGAGCTTGCTTCACATTTCAGCTTACCTGCCTGTCCTCATTTCCTCTGTATTCAAAAGAAAAGAAAGGAAAGGAATTTGCATTGTATGAGCTTCCTTCTGCCTGCAGTTATCCTGTGTGGAATCAAAGAGGCAGGCTGAGGGATAGCTGTTTGCTTGGAAATAACCTCTTCTTGCTTGACAGATAACATTTTAGTTCCACCTTTAATAACACAAACATGGAAAAAGAATACTGCGGCCCTTTAATGGCTAACAAATTTATTGTGGTCTAAGTTCATGGACTAAGGCTGCAATCCTAGCACACATACAAGAGACTAACCCTCACTGAATGAGTTATACTTCTGAGGAAACTTGCATTGAATTCCACAGCATAATCACTTCATCACACTCCATTTAAGTACAGTATTGCCCTCAGTTAGCATATGGATGTGTAGAGAAAGGCCTTTATTTATCTAATTTGTCTAAGAGTTTATAACCCGCTCAGTATTCAGAGAATATCTGAGCAGTGTGCAGAAACAGAGTGTAAAATTTAATACAGATCATTAAAACAGTTATAAAACATAGAAAACCAGCAATCCCCTCACCTCTCTCCCTTCCTC